TATGTCTCACTAAAAGAGACCCAAACAAATGAAACCACCTATCTCTAATCTTAACCATGTCACTCTCAATATCTTCAAAAGTTCTCCTATTCCTCTCATTCCAAATAACCTAAAAAATAGTTATAGGAATTAAATTAATATGTTTCTATTTTCTGCTCATCTCATTCCACGCCCAAATCTCCTCTTTAATTGACCCAGCCCTCACCTAGCACACCCCCAGGAGGCCATAGATCATTGACCACAAAGATTGGATAGCCAGGCAAAACAGCAGCAGGTGGCAGCAAGATTCCTCTTGCTCTTTGCACATGTAACATCTGTTAATCAGCGTCTGACCTCTCTACAACAGATCAATCATATAGCTTATACAATGATAGTAATCCTATTCAAAATGAGAAAAAAGCATCCCACAGGAGAGGCAGTAAAAAAAAGAGAGATGAAAGAGTGCATATCTGCAAAACCAGTTCAACTAATTTAGTAAGAAAACCTAAAATTTATGAAACAGAGAGGAAACTACTAGGTATATAAACAGCTAAGTACAGGCCCACAGAGGAAAGCCCACACCACATACAGATAATAACTAAAAGTGAGAGAGAGAACGATGCAGAGAACTTAATGCAATTCAGTGATGTGCCTTTTCATAGAGCCACTGAGAAGAACTGAATCTTACAACTAAGGTTTTGCTTTATATGTTGAATTAAAGACGAAATCAAAAATCTAAAAAAGTTGGAAGGACTATCATCGGGAGTGTTTATGTAAGTTTTACATTTTCTCTTCCCAGTATATAAAGGAGAAACTCTCTACAAATCCCCCCTTGCTTAAAGTTTTTTGTGAAGAATGATCCCTCTGATTTGGGCCACAACTCAGCAGATCCGTTTAGAGCAAAACAAAAACAAACTGACGACATAAACAAAGCAAACTGAACCAAAGATCAGTCAAAACAGGCAAAACCATCAAACTAATTTAGATCGTTATATTTCAACCTAAATGAATTTTCTATAATTTCAATATTAAAAACTTAACCAAACATTACCTTCTGCGTATTTTCCCTAAGAATTTAATAAGCCATAAAAAATGCTAAATAAGTAACAAAACTGACCATAGTTTGAAATATTACATAAATATAAGGTTAAAAATCGATTGAATTCTTTAAACAAATTATAATTTATGAATTATACTATAACCATATCATCATTTTTAAGTAATAAGAGATTGATTTGAAATTATTATGCATCTTTACCTAAGACATCCGGAAATAAATAAATTTACAATTTAAATTATTTTTCAAAAGTGGTATAACGTAAACTGAATGCAACCAACAATTTCCTAACATTTTAAAACCAAAAAGAGAGAATAAAAAACTAAACAGAAACAAACAACAGGTCAAGTTGGCTAGTTTTGAACCAAACTTGTAATTTCCATACACCACCTGAAGACAAAGTTTATGCTATAAACAAGTAAATTACCTTCGGGCAAAGGGACGTCTCAAAAGCACTTTGGGTGCATACTTCTTGTGTTTTTTAAGCTTGTATTTCTCCTGCAGACAATCAAATCAGCCTATCTCTATCTTTTCTCCCAATGTTTTGACTTGTACAATCATCTTGTCCTCAAATAAGCATTAAAAGCTTTTCCGTATCAGAACGCACACCCTGGAACAGACATACCTGTGCAAATTGAGTTTTCTTTTCAAATGTTGCACTGTTTGCAATGAGAGCTTCAACAATTTCTTCTCCTGTTGCCCCTTGTCTGCGCAACAAGTAAACAGTAAAATCATGAAGGAAAACCATTTATTCGTACAGGAACTATTCTAACCACCTTATTCCCTTTGACACCGAGAGTTTGAAGGGAAAAGCCAAAAGATTAGAATATAAATACATGGAAACCAAAGTCCACACTCTGCTCTACATTTGTTTGATGCTATGTACCCGGGCACAATTAATGCAAAACATATTTTATGAAGCCTCCACTAATGACTATGATATTAGATTCTCACCTCCGCATTGATTCGATATCCTTGCCTGTAAGACTCTGAGCCTGATTGTTATCAACAATGGCTCGATTGTCCTTTAATTCTTCTAACTGATGATCTTCTTTATCTTGAACATTGTTAACTAGATATATATGTCAATAGAGATCATCAAATGTAAAATATATATGAGGAATTTGAAATACGATGAGCAATAAAAAATTTGAAGAAACAAATATGAAATATTTTCAATATCATACATGTGAACCCATATGAGTTCTTTCCTTATAATTATTATGTTCTTAGGCGTTCAACCCACTAGATCCTTAGTGAATGAATCTGGTTCTTATGAAAAATTATATATATCATACGTGCATGAAACAAGACTATAATGCATGTTACC